ATGGGGGTTCAGGGGCCTTGGTCTATAGGTGCAGGCTGGGCTTGGGACGGACGGGTTTCCTTGCCTCTACCCCTAGGGCATTTGAGCTTTGCCCCACAGCCCTCTCTGTTCTACTTTATAGCATCATTTTCCTAGCTTTTCCTGTGTCATTTTTTGTAGCCAAGACGCAGCTGGACTAAACCCTCTATGATCAATTTCTAGGGGAGAGGCTTTCATAGCCACTGGGATACAACCTTGTAGCAGGGGCCTCAGAAGTCTATGACTGTCCAGGCATGCTCATGGCCCTCATGATAGCAGGGTTGAGAGGAGCTGTGACAGCAAGAGGAAGGAGAGTAGCTGAGTAGCCATCAGTTTGCATGAGCTCTGGCTCTGCCGCAGACGGACAGCACTCCCCATTTGGGTACATCTCGTTGCCTCTCCTGTTCTCTAAGTTGATGGGTGTTGTATGCACACAGCTCCCACATATCCCTCACTGAGAAAAAGATCTCTTATTTTACTTTAAAACCTTTTGTATGTACTATCCATGATGATATTTAATGGGCTGGGTCCAGACTGTCGTGTGACTTGGAAACTCCCCCCTTAACTCCCACTAGGATTTTTGCCTCTAACCTGAAGGAACGCATGGCCCAGCGCTTCTACAACCTTGTCCTGCTCCCGCGAATACGAGATGACATTGCCGAATACAAACGACTCAACTTCCATCTCTACATGGCTCTCAAAAAGGCCCTTTTCAAACCTGGAGCTTGGTTCAAAGGTGGGATCCCAGAGGCAGGGAAGAAAGGGAAGGGCTGGAGCTCCTACAGGGAACACAGCAGGCCTGGTGTGGGAACTGGCTGGCTGGCTGCCCCTGGGCGGGGTGGGAAAGCGTCCTCTAACTCCTTTCTCTTAGTCTGGGCTCATAGTGACTGCCCTTTGACTCTCCTCAGGGATCCTGATTCCACTGTGCGAGTCTGGCACTTGTACCCTCCGGGAAGCCATCATTGTGGGTAGCATCATCACCAAGTGCTCCATCCCTGTGTTGCACTCCAGGTAGCATTGTTGCGGGTGCAGGAGGGCTGGTCAGTGGATATCCAGATAGTGGAATTGCCAGGACTTGGGGATGCGCAGAGTGGTGAAGGAGCTAAGGATAGCCTTGGGTTTGTATCATTATCCCCCTAAATGTAAGTTCTGCAACAACAGGCCCTGAGTGCTGGGTATAAAGTGCTGAGGCTGGGCTCAGTGGCTCACGCCTGTAATCCTAGCACTTTGGGAGGCTGAGGCCGGTGGATCACAAAGTCAGGAGATTGAGACCAGCCTGGCCAACATAGTGAAACCCCATCTCTACTAAAAATACAAAAATTAGCTGGGCTTGGTGGCGCACACCTATAATCCCAGCTACTCTGGAAGCTGAGGCAGGAGAATCATTTGAACCCAGGAGGCGGAGGTTGCAGTGGGCCAAGATTGCACCATTGCACTCCAGCCTGAGTGACAGGGTGAGACTCCGTCTCATAAATAAATAAGTGCTTAGTAAATAGATGAACAAATAAGTAGGAAACACAGGAAGAAAGTAGTTAGGGTGGAGATGTTGAGATGTTTGGACCATACTCTAGTTGGATACTGAAACAAGCAGTCTATGCTAGAGGTAGAGATTTGGGTGGATCCTTGTAGAGATAGTGACTGGAGTCAAGAGAATATAATACGATTGGGTAGGTGAGAAGGCCCCTAGGGAATACCATAGTGTAAGGGCCAGCAGAGGGGAAGAAAAAAGGGGGAAAGCACAGGGGAGAAGTAGGATCCTTCTTCCAATGCTTTCCCCGCCAACTTCACCCCACTTCCCTTTTCCCACCAGTGCAGCCATGCTGAAAATTGCTGAGATGGAATACAGTGGTGCTAACAGCATCTTCCTGCGACTGCTGCTGGACAAGAAGTATGCACTGCCTTACCGGGTGCTGGATGCCCTAGTCTTCCACTTCCTGGGGTTCCGGACAGAGAAGCGTGAACTGCCTGTGCTCTGGCACCAGTGCCTCCTGACTTTGGTCCAGCGCTACAAGGCCGACTTGGCCACAGACCAGAAAGAGGCCCTCCTAGAACTGCTCCGGCTGCAGCCCCATCCACAACTATCCCCTGAAATCAGGCGTGAGCTTCAGAGCGCAGTCCCCCGAGATGTGGAAGATGTTTCCATCACCATGGAGTGAGGAAAACAGTCAACTGTCCTGGCCCAAGGGGTTTGGAAGGACACCAAGACCCCCGTTGGTGACTAAAGATGACACTGAGCCTTAATGGCTGAAGACCTAGATCAAGGCAGTGACAGGTCACCGGGACATCTGTGACTCCCAGTCCAGGACAGGAAGAACTGAGGGTCTGGCTGGTTCCGTCTTCCATTCAAGGCCCTTATCCCTGTTCAGTTCTGAGAGCCAATTTGAGTTACCATATGCTAGGATTCCCAGTCCCCAGCTGGGGCTTGGTGTGGTACTTTTTCTATGGCTGTTGCGTCAGGCCACTGTGGATAAAAGCAAAGGCAGATATTTATTGAACCTCTGTGTTTGGTGTGGTCAGTGGAGGTGGGCATTACTCCTGTTAGTATCTGGAGGACAGAGGACATTCTTGTCCCATTTATATAGGGCCCACCTCCCTAGATCTCCAAGCTTGTTTCTCCAGGCCACATTCACATTTTTAGCCCGCAAGGGACACATCCTCTGCCTTTCCCCATCATAGACTATAGCAGCCAGAAGCAGGTTGTCCAAAGATGGTCATGTCTCATCTGTGGATGAAAGGCCTACAAGAGAAAACTTCTCAAGGAAAGCAGAGATGCAGTCAAGGAAGGTCAGAGATCAAGGTTGGACCCAAGAATGATTAGATTGGGGCTAGCAACAAACAGGCTCCCTTTTTGGCTTTTTAGCCAATGAAAGCTTTAGTCTAGTGACTAGTAAACTAGGGCCAAGTGCCCGATTTTTTGTTTTTGTTTTTTATTTTTGTTTTTTTCTTGTTTTGTTTGTTTGTTTTTTAAGATGGGGTTTCACCGTGATGGCCAGGCTGGTCTTGAACTCCTGACCTCAGGTGATCCACCCACCTCGGCCTCCCAAAGTGCTAGGATTACAGGCGTGAACGACCACACCCGGCCCTGTTTGTATTTTTGAGACAGGGAGTCTCACTCTGTCACCCAGGCTGGAGTGCAGTGGCACAATCTCGGCTCACTGCAACCTCCCAAGTAGCTGAGACTACAGGCATGCACCACCACACCTGGCTAAATTTTGTATTTTTAGTAGAGATGGCATTTCACCATGTTGGCCAGGCTGGTCTCGAACTCCTGCCTCGTGATCCACCTGCCTCAGCCTCTCAAAGTGCTGGGATTACAGGCATGAGCCACCATGCCTGGCCCAAGTGCCCATTTTTGTGTGGCCCATGAGCTAAGAATGATTTTTCCATTTTTAAATGGGAAAAAAGATGAAAATAGTATTTTGTGATAGGTAAGAATTACATGAAATTCCAGTTTCAGCATCCATAAACAGTTTTTTTGGAACACAGCCATGCTCACCCATTTACATGTTTTCCGTGGCTGCTTTTTGTGCTACAACAGCAGAGTTAAGTATCATCATGCTATAACCCTTGTTATTTGCTTTCAAAATTGCAATTTGTTCCAACCCATTTAATATATTTGGGAATAGTTTGATCATAACGCAAACTTCATGTTTGCTTGTATGAGATTTCATCCTCAAGAAATACTAGGTGAATGTGGAAAACTACCCAGCTGAACCAACTAGTACACAAAACTCACACCTAAACATGTACGAGCCACCTCACTCAGCTCCCCTCCTATGTTGAGCAACTCTTCCAACATCCACTTCCAAAGCCAAGTGCATGTCTTCAAGATAAAAGGCCGTGTTTATTGTAATATTTATGTATTTCTCAACCATTTGACATATGTAAAAACCAAGCTATCCTTTTTTTTTTTTTTTTTTTTGGAGTCTCCCTCTGTCACCAGGCTGGAATGTGGTAGCGATCTCGGCTCACTGCAGCCTCCACCTCCTGGGTCAAGCGATTCTCCTGCCGCAGCCTCCCAAGTAGCTGGGATTACAGGCACGTGCCACCATGCCCAGCTAATTTTTGTATTTTTTAGTAGAGATGGGTTTCACCATGTTGGCCAGACTGGTCTCAATCTCCTGACCTTGTGATCTGCCCATGTCACTCTTTTTTTTTTTTTTTTTTAAATGAATGATATGTTGCCCAGGCTAGCCTCGAACACATAGCCTCACCTCAACAACTAGCCTGAGCCATGGCAGCTCCTGTTTTTTTTTTTTTTGTTTTTTTACTTTTTTTACTTTTTATTTTTAAAGATGGGGTTTCACCATGTTGGTCAGGCTGGTCCTAAACTCCCAGCCTTAGGTGATCCGCCTGCCTTGGCCTCCAAAGTGCTTGGATTACAGGCGTGAGCCACCGTGCCCAGCCTGTTTTTTTTTTTTTAATGGAGTCCCACTGTGTCACCAGACTGGAGTGCAGTGGTACGATCTCGGCTTACTGCAACCTCCACCACCTGGGTTCAAGCAATTCTAATGCCTCAGACTCCCAGGTAGCTGGGATTATAGGCACATGCCACCACACCCAGCTAATTTTCATATTTTTTTTTTAGTAGAGACGGGGTTTTACCACTCTGGCCAGCCAGGATGGTGTGGATCTCCTGACCTTGTGATCCACCCACTTCAGCCTCCCAAAGTGCTGGGATTACAGATGTGAGCCACTGTGCCCGGCCTCATTTAAAGTTTTTGAGTGTTGTGCTTCAATCTCCATTTTTCCCATGAGACCTATGGTTTTTGTTGTGCAATTTTTGCATGGCATGGTGATTTTTAGGAATGCATAGGTCACATTATAAAGCAGAACTGACTCTATGTGGGACAGAGACCATATAGCCCACGAAGCCTAACTATCCCCCACTTTATAGAAAAGACTCAATGATCCCTGCTTTAGACCATTGACTTTACCTCTTCACCTCATACAGTCCAGAGATAGACTTAGCCACACACCAATCCAAGAAGCCAAAGCCAGTTTTATTTCACAATATTACAATAGGATGATGGTCCTGGGCCACCCTTCTAAACCTTGTGGCCTTAGGAAAGACCTGTGTCAACAGGGCTTGCCTCCCACCCTAGACAAGGACTCAGCCACCTCCAGGGCATCCCTGCTGCATTTTCCCTGATGGAGGATGAGGCAGAGGGATAACGGGAGAAGAGGGCTCGACCCCACCCTAGGCTGTAGCAGCTCCTCCACCACAAACATCCTTTTGCCCATAGCAGAAGGGAGGAAAACAGCATCCACTAGGGTTATCACACACTTGTGGTATGGCCAGGACCCCATTACATCCCCTTACAGTTGTGCTCAAAGCAATAAATTAAAAGGAGCCTTCAGCAGCAAAGCTGTCAATCACACAGGAGAAGCTGAGCACTAAGCAAAGCAAGGGGGATTTATAGCTTCTCTGGCTGAGGCCTAGGCCCCTCCCTCTAGGAGCAGCTGTCAGCATGGATTATATAGGGGCCTCCAAAGTACTGAGAGGAGCCATCTAGACTATTCCCCCCGCTACGTGTCTATCAATCATGCGTGAAATTTCAGAGGGACCCCAATCCAAATGCAATAACCCTAGAAGAGGCAACACCTTTAAAAGGCACTAGAGCATTTTGGCAGTTGAAAACTTGAGCACCCCCAGGGGTGGGGGGGCCACTCAAAAGGAATGCTGGTGCATGTATCCAATTCTATCCCATCACCCTGGCCCACCCCCAGCTAGAGTTCGGGAAGGCGCTGCTGGTCAGATGCAGGAAGGAGAAGGAGCTTGACTAGCCACCGAAATGCAGACATGGCTGGCCCGGCCCCCTAGTGCACACTGCAGGGATAGGTAGGACCGGACCCCTTGGGCTTTGTGAAGGGGGGACAAACGTCCCTTCAGGTTTCAGACGTGGTGTGGTTTGTTCCTGGAGGCAGGGAGGTGGGTGGCAGTGGCCCCTCCTCTGCTTAGTGGCCACTCCAGAGGGCCTCTCCAGGGCTACAGGTGGATGGCCGTGACATCTGTAGGAGTGCTGGTCTGGCTGGACCCTTGGCTGCTGGAGCCCCGGGGGGTTTTGGGCGCTGGGCTGGGGCTGGTCTGAGCGGCTTCCCTGAGGCTCTCCCTGAGTGCAGTTTCGATCTGCTCCTGACAGGCCCGCAGGCAGTCCTGGGAACATGGGAGAACAGTGAAGAGTGACCACTGCCGGCAGGTGCAGGGGAAAGACAGCTCCCAACACATGGGGAAGTCTGGGGAGGTTAGGCCACAGCCCAGCCCCAGGAATCGCTCTTCACTTCTCAGAAACTAGCAAGAGGATGTGGCAAGGGAGTGTGAGAGCAGCCCTGCATCTGACACCGAACCCCCACCCCCACTCCAGCACACCACTTGGCAAGAAAAGAGCCCCTAGGGCCAGTGCCCTTCACCCCACCCAGGACACTTGCCCTTCTCCAGACCAATGCAGATAAAAAGCTACAAAGACCCAAGGGTGTGAAACCAGGACTTGAGACCAGGTTGGGGTTGGAGGTTTCCCTCTACTGGAGGCTCAGGGCACAGCACTACTTTATGAATGGAGAGGCCGCTCCCCAGCTGGCCAGCACTCACCACTTCAGTGCCAGTGATCCCTGCCAGCACCTCTGTGAGCTGATCCCCGGACATGGAGCAGGCACCCAGGCCTTGCACTGCAGCCCCAATGCTGCCTGTGGCAATCATGGATGGCGGGTACATGGCAAAGGTATAATCTTGGAGAGAAGGAAAGGGAACCATGAGACAAGGAAACTTGAAGGATAACAGCCAGCGTGGACTTGCAGCTCCTCGGAAAGTGCCAGGCCGTATGAATACAGCGGAGGACATGCTGGAAAAGTCCAGCAGTGGGTGGGGCAAGATAACAGCAAGGGAGGAAGACAGGAAAGAATATCTTTCCTAGAGATCAGGACCAACTGCCAGTTTCCATAGGTCCAGGGAATAGATGAGACACTCCCCAGTGTGGGAACACAACTAAGGCCAAGAGACTGGGGTTCTGTTCCCAAACTATTCACTGTGAGACCTTGGGCAAGTCACTTCTTTCTATACCCTCAGTGTCCCTCCTACAAACTGGAGGAGTCTGAGATCCCAAGTAGCTCTGATTATGACCTGCTTTTCTGTGTTGAGACTGGGGGCTCAGAGGGGATATAATTTTCACAAATTTTGAGAGTATACACCAGAATCTCCTAATTACCTCTCACCCTTATAAATCTTCTCACTTTTCCAATTTGACACAATTGTGGACCGGGTTCTTACCTGTAGCACAGAGGGCCAAAAAGGTCTGGGCATGCTTTTTGACCAAGGCCTGTCGCTCACGGGGCACAGGGAGCCGGTGCAGAATGAGGGCCAGGAAATCATGTGCAATCACAGCAGCTAGGTCCCACTTGAGCTTCCCTAGGACCAGCACCTCCCAGTCCTGGAAAAGCAGGAAAAGGGTGGGGTCAGTGGCTGGAGAAGAGGAGAGGAGGGAGTAAAGCAGAAGTCTCAAAGTCTCACAGCAGGGAAGCCCATCACACTTTTGAAGCCCAAGACCCCAGTTCTGCTTCTAATTTTAAGGCCTGGCACCATGGAGTTCAAGGCAGGGAAGAGGAGGGGGCATATGCTTTGAGCACTTACTGATTCTTTACTAGGTGCCAGGACAACATGCTTTACATGGATTATCCCTTTTAATCCTGTTTGGTTATGTTTAAGGGGCCAATAATCCAGGCCTTCTCTTGACTTCATTCAGGCCTCTGAGGATTTCTCCAGCCAGAGCTGAAAGACTGAAGCAGCAGATACCGAAGAATCACCAGGAACTGGAGGCTCCTCTGGGATGAAGCTGACTCTCCCAACCCCAAGGATTTGTGAAAGGGGAGATCACCACTAGCTTCCCCTGCAACTCTGCATCCCAGCCAAGTCCACACTTCTTGAATCAACAGGAGGGAGTATGACTCCTCCAATGACAGCCACTGAGCCTTTTCTGAGGTTCCTCAAAGGGTAGGTTACCCAACCCAAGCCACATCCCCTTGGTAGGATATCAGGGATGGCTCCTGAGATATAGTGCCCCCCCAACCCCTTTAGCTGGAACCTATAGTGCCCCAAGCCACTTGACTTTCAGGAGGACAGGTGGAGGCCAAGCCAGACAGGATGGATCCAAATGATCCCTGGGGCATCAAGCCCTATCTTCACCTACCCAAGCCTACCTAACAGCGCTAGGTCTTGGGAGAAGGCTGGGAGCTCCACCCCAAGCCACTCATCATGGGTTCCCAGACCTGGCCCCATATCTGAGTTGCACACATGAGGATTTCTTCATTGTTGTATCTCAGGAAGGAACTTGTGGGTTTGACTCCTTATTGAGGCAGAAATGGCAACTCCACCCAAACTCTTCCAGGCCCCAGCCACAGCTGTCTCTCTTGGCCCCAGCCTAGGTGTCAGCCTCTCAAATCAGCCCCTACCCTCGCAGAGCCCCAGAGAAAACAGCCTGGCCTGGAGCCATAAGTGAGGCAGAGAAATTACAACTCTACCTCCAGTGCATGTCCCAGGAGCCAACTCCTCACTCAGCAGTAAACAGAAGGGACCTAGCTTCTAAGGAAGCATCTGGAAGGCAACTGGGGGTGGGACCCTCCCTATGGGGAAGCAAGGGGTCGTCTGTGAGGGAAGGTGTCCACCCTTCCCCATATTCAGACAACCAGAGAATCCCAGTGTTAACTGGTAAAGAACACACCCCTGGGAGTGCCTAGCTTCAGTTTGTGACATCCCTGACTTTTAAGGTAACCTCGTCTAGCTAGAAGACCCAGATTCTACATTCATCTTCTCAGAGTGATGCTGAGGCAGGACTCTTCCCTCCTTCCTTGGGCCTCAGCCTTCTCTGCTGCACAGGGATTTGGACCAACTGGAGTTCTCAGAGGCCTCTTCTAACCCTGACCTTCTAGGAAGTCTTCTGGACATTCCACCCCCAGCTCAGGCAGAGGGAAGAGTACTTTTTGCCTGTACTGAAAAACCCTCATACGTGGGCATACACACCAACTCCATCTTTTCACAAAGAGGAAGTCCCCCTTCTACCTTCCGGCCCCAACCCCTCCAAAAACATCTTGCTCTCTGGTCCTGGAAACTAACTCCACTTCAGACTTGCCAAAATTTACCAGATTCATCACAAAGAGCTGTGGAGCCTCCTGGATTCCCAACGCTGGCCTCCTACTCCCATCTCTGAGCTACTTGGCAGGAAGAGGAATCCTGTTCCTCGACTCACAGCAGTCAGGGGCCCCAGTACCCTGGCTTCCCTGCCAGCCAATCACAGCAGCCTGCTTGCTGCCCTCCTCCCTGGGAGATGGGGCCCAGAGACTCCTCTCAGGGTCAGCAGAAGACTTGGCCGGCCACAGAGCAAGGTGGAGGAAGGTGCCAGCTCACCCACCCTCTCCCTTAGTGTCCCCCAGGAGACAATCTGCATGTCCTAAATAACCTCTTCCAGATCCAGCAGCTCCCTCACCTCCTCCCCAGGCTCCTTCTGAGACGGGACAGAACCGGTGACTTTCTGGCCCTGCCTGAGCCCAGCCCAAGTTTCCAGCAAGAGGCCCAGGGAGCCACTTCCCAAACCACAGGAGTGACAGCAGCTCCCCACAGTGTTATGAAAGACCTTGGTCAGAGAGGGCGGGCTGGGGGAGGGGGCACCATTATCACATCGGAAGCAGCTGCAGCCCACCTCCCGGTCTGTCCCTCAGCTTGAGCTGTTTCCACCAGGCCCAAAGCAGCTGCTCCAGTTCCTCAGAATGAAGACAGGGAAGGATTAGGGAGAAGCTGTCCCTTCCGGGATATCGGGATATAAGGGGAGGCAAAGAAGGTGGGATGAAATACATCAGCCCTTCCTTAAAGCAATCAGGGCCTGGCTTTAATCTGCTCTGGGAGGTTTTTCTATCACAAAGTCCACATGAGGATAAAGACTCAACCAAAGTAAACCCCCTCCCCCACATGAAGCACATTCCACTCCCCTACTCCAGTGGGGGTGTGCAGGCATGCCCTTCTGCTGCCAATAAATAACTCATGGTGGCTGTGTAAACCCAGAGGCAAAGTACTAGTGAGTGTAGACATGCAGTCTGACTTGTTGCTATCTGGGGGAAAGACCAGGAAGGAGTGGCATCCCCTGGAGGTCAGGAGGAGGGGGTTTAATGCCTGCCTGCAGCTTAAACCTGGGCGGGAGTGATACTAACCATCACACCACACTTCCCCATTGTTTCCTCCACCCTAATTCCTTTCCCAAAGGTCTCTGATCACCTTGCTCCCTCTCCAGGGGGCAGAAAGCCTCTGAGGTCTTAAGCTTTCCTTTTCCTGGAAAGTGGGGAGACAGTACGTGTCAGGGGTGGGGGGAGTTACACACGCACCCGCATCTGGCGGGGTGAGAGAGCGTGGTCGCTGTAGATGCACAGTTTTTCGATGGTCAGGGGCGTGGTCTCGCGCAGCTTGGAGGCCAGCAGCATGCAGACCGCACCCAGGAGCTGCAACTGCGCCTTTCGGGTGGGGACGCAGGACAGGTAGCGATCCAGGTAGTTCATGGCCAGGGGGAAGACTTCCTCCTCGCAGCGCTGCTCCTCACACACCTGGGAGAGGGCGCACAGTCACTGCTGGGGCCAGAGCATGGGGAACACAGCAGCGGGGCGGCGGGGGGTGGGGGCGGGCGGTGAAGTGAAGTGGGATAGGGAGCAAAAACGGGAGAGAGGGTAAGCTACTTAGAGACAAGGACCAATAACGGAGGAGGATGCGCCCTCCCCGAGGTGACGCCACCCCACTTCCTCTGAGCGGCCTCCTCCCCTCTCCCCTTGGTGGGGTGGAGGTGGTAAAGCCGAGGAGCCCTTCCTCATGGAGGATTCCAAACGGAGACTCCCCTCCCCCACAGCGAGGGGAAGTGGGACGCAAGGGTCACCCATGGTAGCCAGAGAGCTGGGACCTCGCCCCCATCACTGCCACCACTGCACGCACCCGAGGGGAAGGGAGGAGGCTCCTGCCGCTGCCTCCCGCACTTTTCATTTCCCTGTCGGCCGGAACAGGGCGCGCGCCACCCCCACCGCCTTCCCCGCCAGAACCCCGCGACAGACACAGGAACCGGCTCCCGGGCGGGGGCGGCCGAACCCAGGGTTTTCCAGGCGCGCTCTCCGGAGAAGGCCAGGAGGGGGAGGGAAGAGGGAGAAGCCGAAGGGGAGAGGATGTCCCTTGTCCCGCTTTCCCGGCCCGAAGAGAGGCTCAGTTAGGGTGCCAAGTGACTGGCAGTCACAGTCGGGAGGAGCCGATTAGGGCTCGGGAAGGCAAGGGAGGCAGCCGGAAAGGGTGCCCTAGTGAAAGGCCAGGCCCCGGGAGTCTTAGCCCCGGAGCATCCTGCAGATTGCTGTAGTGACTGGGATGTCCCGGCAGGGCGGCCCCGGTGTGTCCAGAGCCGGGAGCAGTGGGATGGGGGGCGTCCGGGCGGTACCTCCAGCATCCAGTAAGCCAGCATCTTCCGCATGTGCGGCTTGATCTCCCGCTGCACGCACTGGAAGTAGGAGGTGCGGGGCACGTAGCGCTCTTCCAGGCGGAGCAGGCTTTGCAGGACACGCTGGTCCCCCAGCAGCTGCGGGTCCGGCCCGGCCCGGGGCGCCTGCCGGGTGCCTTCGCAACACAGCAGCTCCATACTCGGGCAGCGCACAGGCAGGGCAGGAGTGCGGGCTCGCGATTCCCAAGGCAGGCGGCCGTCCGGAGAGCGCGGGGCGCACGTCTGGCCCTGGCGCTGGCGCTGGCACTATGTGGCGGATCCCCAACCCGCCCGCCGCCCGCGCGCGCGCCGCTTCCCTGACAGGCGCCCCGCCCCTCGCAACGATATAGCAACAGTGGAATGCTTGGACGTCGCAACGCTTTGAGGGGCGGGGCTGCGACGCCCCGGACGGAAAGGGCTGGCTGGGCGCTCTCCCCTCCCTCTCGCGGCCCCATTGGCCGGTGGGGCGCAAGCCGGCCAGCTTCCGGGCACTCCAGGCCCTGGACCACCGGGTGCAGAGAACTTTCTAGGAGGTGGGCCTCCTCCCACCCACGGACCCTCCCATTTGGCTTCTCGAACTCTAGTCACCCAGGAAAGAATTTTTCTCCAAAGGTCATTCATTCACTTATTCATTGGTCAAACCCTACTTCACCAGCTGCTTGCTCTAAGGAATGCGATAAATAATGTCAGACCTAGTTAGTGAACGCTGCTCCAAAGCTTCGCGATGTAATGACTCACTACGTCTTCACGAAAACTCCGAAACTGAGGCAACTGTCGCGATCATTCAGTTGGTCCATGGCAGAGCTAGGATTGGGAAGCTGGCCTTCTTTCTCCAGATTCTGTACTCTACACCATTGTTAAACTGTGATCCCACATCCCACACTTGTCCTGTGTGTGGGCATCGCCTGGGAGCTGGTTAGAAATGCAGACACTCAGGCCCACCGTTAACCTGAATCAGAATCTGCATTTTTTTTTTTTTTGAAACGGAGTTTCGTTCTTGTTACCCAGGCTGGAGTGCAATGGCCTGATCTCGGGTCACCGCAACCTCCGCCTCCTGGGTTCAGGCAATTCTCCGGCCTCAGCCTCCTGAGTAGCTGGGACTACAGGCACGCGCCACCATGCCCAGCTAATTTTTTGTGTTTTTAGTAGAGACGGGGTTTCACCATGTTGACCAGGATGGTCTCGATCTCTTGACCTCGTGATCCACCCGCCTCAACCTCCCAAAGTGCTGGGATTACAGGCTTGAGCCACCTCGCGCGGCCAGAATCTGCATTTTAACTGTATGCCTGTGCACTTTAAAGTATGAGTGCTTTAGTCTAAATCAGCATATCACAGAATGGAAAGGCGATTGAGTCATGGCCTCACCTTGTTAAAGTTGGTTGCCTGGCTTAGGACAAGCCCCTAAGTTGGCCTTAGTTTCTGTTTGAGGAAACTGTGGATGGAGAAACTAGATTCTCACTGAATGAGTTTCTTGCACAGACTCTGAGATCTACCGGTTGCATTTCTTCCACCTCCCAAACTTTCAATTACTTTGTAGTTTTACCAGAAGCTGTGCTTGACCAAGAGGCAGATAACAGACCTCCAATAATGCTCCAAATGGGAGGAGGCCGTGAGGATCCCTGCCCTTACTGGAGTCCTCCCACCCTAGGAGACACTAAGGAAGTGTCTCCTACCTTACTAAGGAAGTGAGTAACTAGAGAAATGACACTATGTAGAAGATGTAAGTTCTACGACAACCATTTTCTCAGTTAATTATTCTTTTTGTTTGTTTTAAGACTAAGTCTCACTCTGTTGCCCAAGATGGAGTGTAGTAGTGCGATCTCGGCTCACTGCAACCTCCACCTTCTGGGTTCAAGGGATTCTCCTGCCTCAGCCTCCCAAGTAGCTGGGACTACAGGTATAAGCCACCATGCCCAACTAATTTTTGTATTTTTAGTAGAGACGGGTTTCACTATGTTGACCAGGCTAGTCTCAAACTCCTGACCTTGTGACCACCTGCCTCCAAAAGTGCTGAGATTACAGGCTTGAGCCCCTGCGCCCAGCCGAATTATTCTTTCTTTTTTTTTTTTTTTTTTTTTTGAGACGGAGTTTTGCTCTTGTTACCCAGGTTGGAGTGCAATGGCGCGATCTCGGCTCACTGCAACCTCCGCCTCCTG